TTCAACGTTTTCAAAAGTACAAAACACAAATGACCACGATCTAAGCCATAACCAGCTCTAAAGAGATATATGCAGAAATAACTATACAGAGATTCAGATTTAAAAAAATACAGACTAAAGACCTTAGGACCAGCCTGTTCTGTATAAAAGCGGCGTTAATTCAAAGAAAAGCGAAAAGGTACAAGGAAACTGACTAACAGAATTGGTCCGAAGCCGGCTAGGAAGGACTGCCTTCAGCCGAAATGAGCCCATCTGTTGGCGCCGTTACATTGTTGGTATGCCCCTATGCTTACGCCGAAGACGACAAGAGAGCCGGTTTCTGTGAACAATAAGCTTAAACAGGATACGTATAAACAACGAATCCCTAGCTCATCAACTCCAGTTTATTTGCGGGAGCGCTGGCCGTACTCGAACTCTGCTGCAAATGGCGTGCGACGAGCGTTCTGGAATATTCCCGTTGTGGCGTGACGTTTATTGATTGGCCGGCTCGTGCGCGAATAACACTTTCGGGAAAATATTCACTTATCGGTCTGCAGTGTGGGTTAGTAAATACATCACGCGTAGGTGGTATGGCCACCGGCGCTTATCGGCTTTCTGGTCTAAATGCCGCGAACAACGTTGTATGGCAAGTGACTTCGTTCTTATACCATACACTACGCCATGACACCGCCCATTTTTGAGAATTTTATCTCGTATAAATAATTTTTTCCAATAATAACTACAGAGTGTACTGTCAAACCGGATATAAAGCTGAGGTAAAGTAAGGACAAGGTCACTTCAGTTCAATTATGTTTTAATGAGGGAAATGTAGGCAAACACCCGTGATCTCCCAAGTGGTGACATAACAACTGAAAAATACATCGATACAGTAGAAAAATTCAAACAGTGTTCGCTCACCCGATTGCAGACGAAAAGTGAGCAGTCGTCAAATGGAAAATAGTAAACACCAACCATTTGATCGCTCATCGCGAGTAGTATGATAACATAAATATAGTATCTCGGCTCATGGGCAATGCTACTTGCACGAGCCATTAGGTGGGGCAAAATCAAAAAGGGCAGACAATGAAGACAGTCCTTGCGCAATTCTTGGGAACTGATGGGCTTCTGAAGGCGATTTGACGGATTATAAGGAGAAAAAAACTACCGCTCATGGGAAGAAAATGTACAGGAGATAAGTGTATCGTGCTGATGAGGATGTGTAAGGTAGCACAAGGGAGATTAACATGGTTATCGTCAGTATACTTATAGTAACATTGAGGATGGTCGTAGAGGTCTCGAGGTCCCCGAGGCGCCGAAGATGTGACCATGATACGCTCTTGCCGATTGCCGAGACTGCCGACAATGTGATGAATACAAGAGAATCCCCACGATCGTCAATTATTCACTGGTGGTCGACATAACTGAGATGCATTCATAGGGGATGAATTTGACGCAGCAAATAATTACACAGTTAAATGTTCCCCAAAAATTGCAGTTAAGGCTATGAGACTAAGACATTTTTTGATTATGGCAAGACTGCAAAGGTCGGCTAGTATTGGAGTGAGCATTGCCACTGCAATCTGGCTTCCACTTAAGGACTTCAACGGAAGCGGACATAACAACATCCATGAGCAGAGTGGAGCCGATGACTCGTTCCTTGGTCTGGTGAAGAAAGCTGCTAGCCACCAGGAAGTTCTTATTGTTGGTGACTTCAACGCACCTGC